GTCCCTGCCGTTCGAATTGTATCCAATCGACCTATTTATTAATAAGTCATAGTATTTATTTAAACTTCATTACTTTGGCAGAAAGAACGAGGGTGGGTTTAAAATTTCATTGCAATTAAGAATTTTTGCATACAACAATGGCGCTTCCTTTATTCTTTGATATTTTTAAAAAAAAGATGATCAGCCGATTATCTAAATGTTTTGATATACTGAGACTAGTGTGATTTTTGGTTTAATATAAAATCGTTAAATTGCCCCTTGTATAATACCCCCCGAGCACAATATCCCCCATTTACAATACCCTTTACCATACACAGTACCCCCGGGGGTATTATTCATGGTCAGGCCGGGTTTGGTGATATATACCCGGGGTTACTTTATAGAGCGCTATACGGTATTTCTAATGTTTAAACATCCGATAGTATCACCGGTCATAAATTCTGATCCATATGGTTGGCCAAATCCTGAGCCAAAAAACACGTCCATCATCACCCCATGAGCTATCTTCCCAGCCTACAATATAATAATTCATAAATAATTTATTAACAAATTAAATTGATAAAAAGAAGAGTAAAATTACCTGGCATTTTATTTAGGCTAGCTGATTTTGTGCAAAACCCTATTCCAATCTCCCTATGGAATTTGATAAATTGAATTATCGGCAAACAACTTATATATAACAGAAAAAATAGTATTCCAAAGTTTTACAACACACCCTTTTTTCCCTTTATCTATAATGTCAACTTCAAAATAAAATAATCCACATTGTTCGGGAATTGGAAAATTTGCTCGAACTGCAGCACAGTTTTTATATCCACCGAGATTTTTATATTTGAAAACAATTGTAGTTATGATTGTTATACAACATGAAATCACCTGTATAAGTCACTATAAGCCTGTCTGAATTAAGTTTTAAAAGAAGATGTTCATCATAAATATCCCATGCGGTTGGTGAATCCATAGCTTGATTTGTATGCGTTTTACCTTCTTATGTGAAAGCTTTAAATACGTTTTTTTATTTTTTATTTTTTTTTTTAAGCATTATTTATATATTTCATGCATGTCGATCAATACTTAATTTGTGTTACATTTAAATGAAAGCAATCAATTTTAAACAAGTTTCATCGTTCACTATCAATTTTCATTCATTTGGAGTATATGGATGTTAGCTTCGTCTCTCTGTATGGTTTTTTTTAATATAAATTAAACTTAATAATTTTTTTTTTGATTATTATCATACCTAATGTTAATTAAGGAAGTATAAATCGTCTTCATTCACAAGAAACTTGGCTGCGGCGATGTAGAAAATAAGGTTCGATTGATATTTTTTAATTAAATTTAATTCTTTTTAGTTTTTATGTATTAAAACATATTTAAGGAAGAAATGGTTCAAGTTTTTATTAGAAATTAGAAAATACAAAAAAAAATAGGTAACCAACGATTATTGCCCGACTCGAATTTAAGGATCGGGTCACTATTTTTTATTTTATTGACCCATGACCCGCGTTATAATGTATCTTACAAAGATTATATGCAGATTTAGAGGGAATCTCAAGTATTCTTGCTTCCTCAAATCTATTATTGAACCATTTTTTTCATGTTATGATTCGAAAAAAATAAGACTTCAACGCTTGCATATTATAATATTAGGAATAAAGGAGTTTGTCTATAATTATCAGCTTAACAGATAAACTCTGACATTTGGTTCAGACGATATGCAAGCTTTAGAGGTTGGAAATCGGTGCCAATATGCGCGGCAACTTCGATGCATGATAAAATTATCAAATATATCTGCCATATTTTACATATTTAATTTATTTTACATACCTTATCTTCTTATTTTTTAACAAATTTATTATAATTTTTATTTGTTATATTTGTTATTAAGATAAAATAATATTTTTGTATTAATAGTTTCGTTAGTTCGATCTGGCTGCCAACAGAGTTCTTAGAGATTTAGTGGATCTCTATAATTAATATTCCCTTTCAACCATCTTCATGTCTCCATAAAGGCGTTGATTGTGATAACTAAAATAGCGAATAGTATTGATTGATCGTATTGATTGAATGCTTCATAAATCTTTGTTCGGACGGCCTTAGTTAGATTTAATTAATTGCTTGTTCGATTTGATTTCCATGTTAACACCGGCAGGAATTATGTAATTCATAATAATCTTAATTTTGGCCGAAATTGAATTTCGCCTGGAATTAAAATCGGTTAAATAATATGATTGTACGAACTAAAACTAATAATGATTTAATTCTTCTACAGGTGTGTTAAGTATAGAATAAGATATACCAGGTAAAAATTCATTATCTAATAATAATCCATTTTCTGAAAATAATTCTCGATCATATGAATTGGAGAATATGAAGATACACGTTTGTGTGACTGTTGGTGATTGTGATTTTGGTAAAGGAGATAGCATGTTTTAATGTTTAATCCTTAGCAGTTAATTTCGTTGCATGTGAAGGTGATGATAACTTAGATGTGTGGGAGATTTTAAAGATTCAATATTTACGTTTCTTGATGTAGATTTTATTAGAATTAATACGTCTTCAGATGATGGAGTAAGTACTTAATGGAACAGAATTCTCAATTAATTTTTTGAACTTGATGAATCTGCGAAATTGTGATGTGAATAGTTTCAGTGGAATTATTTGAAAAATGATGTTCATCATTTTCAGTATTATAATAGAAGGTGGTGGTGGGTGTTGTTGGATGTGACATTGCTGCCAGTAGTGATACAGGAGTGGCTTATCAACTTACTTGCACACATTTAATTTGTAATTATCTCACGAACAATGAGTGACGTTAGTGACGTTAAATTTATGAGCCGATTTTAACAGAGTTTTTTTTTTTGTACTTTTCCAGTACCGATTTCTTGAAAATCTTGAACATCGCTTAAATGTTTGTATATTCGTAACATTTATTAAGATATATTCTTCAACCCTATTAACCCACGCATTCAAATTATTTATAACTTGCGTTTTGATTTAAATTGATAAATATTTCCTGGTGAAATTAAAAATGGTTAAATCAAGTTCAACGCTATCGGTCATGATCGGTGTAATAATGAAAAAAATTTTGACCCAAAAAGAATTTCAATTAAAATCGAGTATTGATAAAATTTATCTGATATGATTTTATCTTTTACAATTATACACATAATTAATTCATTTTTTTTATTTCTTTCCAAAATTTTCGAGAAGAATTAAACCAGTTGATGTTTTCTCTATATTATTATTATATAGTACATCCCCGACGAAAATTTAAATTTTATTTAATGAATTAAAATGAGCGTTTGTCAGCATTACCGGACTCGAAAAAACACCAAATATCTTAAAGTGACCAAAATTTAATTGAAACAAAAATCCCAAATGATCATATAAATTGTCGATAACAAACCACACTTTTATTTTAGTTGTCAATAAATAATTTTTTACAATAATATAATAGAAAAAAAATCTCTTTTTTTTAATTTTTTTTTTCTGATTATTATACAAATTATAATATTTTTCTGATTAATATATGAGAAAAGTATTCCTTCTATGTATGAAAATTTATCTAAGGAATAAAATTTTTTTTTGATATTCTTTCGTAGGGTCACGCAACTTACATTTAAAAACGAAATTTATTATAAAAAAATCACTTACATTTTCATTAGGCAAATAAATATAATTTGCTTACTTTATATAAATTAAAATTACAAACTACCAATTTTTTATGAACAAAAAAACATTTAACTCCTCCTCGGAGAGATATCTTTCGACATTTTTCTCATTCGATTTCTTGATGCCTTGAGAGGTATACTATCTTTATACAAAAGTTTGCTTAATACACTACCGTCCAAAATACCGAACCGCATGTATAAAGTTTCTAAGCTAATTTATACGGAATTTTAAAAGATGAAAACTATATATAATAATGAATAAAATACGAAGGAGTAAGATGAGGGATGCAGACTTTTACTTTGATTATATATGATAATGACGCGTATCTTGACGTGACGTATATAAATTATATGATATGATGAATTGACGTGACTTTTAAAAATAAAAGTCTGCATTCTTAGTAAGATGTACTATTTCTAATGTTTCTAAAATCTATTTATCTAAAAAAAAAGATAATTTATATTTGAAAAACATGTTGAAAATTAATAAACAATCGATTGGATATGGTTCTCCATATCCTTTCATGGCGATTGTTTGGAACGAACTCAAAATCGTCATGATTATCGCGTCTTAAACGAATTAATTCTCTTGCGGCGTCTGGAATCTTGATTTCTTCCTCCTCCTGGTAATACTTTTGCACAACTAAACAATGTTTCAGAATATAATATGCCGTCCCATTCCGTAACAAATTACAGCACTAATCATACAGTAAAACAAGTAATTTTTGGCTCGTTTATAAGAACTGAAGAGTAAAGGTAGGAATCGGTTAGATTTTCTTTAACCGGTTAAAATAAATAATTTTAATTTTCAGCAAGAATAAAATAGTAACTCGGGTGAAACTAGTTTTTAAGAGTTTGGGTTTGAGGAGGTTTGAGGAGGCCCAACTAGTTTAGAGGGTTTAGAACCTAGTCTTAGAATTTGTCAGGAACTTTAGACTAGTATTAAGAGTTAAATTAAATAGTCGATTATATTCGTATTCGAGTGTATCAGGTCGAGGATATTGTTCATAGTTATTGATTACAAAATAATTCGCTAGTTTTGCTCAGATTTATGGTATTAACGAGTTAAGGATTTTTAAAGACCCGGTAAGGCCATTTTATAAAAAATTTTGATCGACACATGATTGATTCGATGTAAATTCTTTATTAGTATATTTAATTGGATATTTTTTTGCTTTATATTTATTATTATTCGTTTCAGGACAAGCCTTATGCATTCCATATACTTTATTCCATTATTTTGACATATATTGTATATTAAATCAATACAAATTTAAAATAAGTTTTTATTAAGGTCCATCAAAAAATTACAATGAATGAATTATTAATCAAAAAATTTCAACTAATTGTGTTTCAGAAATAAACATCAGAAACAACATTGACAATTTCTTCTTTGTCAACCGATTCTCTACAAAAATGATGGAGTCTTAATTTCATCTTTGAACATTGCCAATTATCTTTTTTTTTTTTTTTTTTTTAAAAAAAAAAATTCTTTCAAAGATAAAGTTCTTTAACGCTTACATCAGGGTAAAAAGAGGAGTTATGGAACTGTAAATGGCACTATATATTTCAATCACTCGACTCTAAAGTGCTAATAATGTGTCTTTCATTTACCATAATAGGTTGTTGCATGTGGTGCAATTTTCAATTGTATAACATAAAAAAAAATATTTATTTTCAAAACAAGGGTTAATTACACACTTACATATGTGAATTAATAGGTAGCAGAAATCTTTTTTTATCATAAAATGCTAACCCCGATTTTTGAATTATAGAAAATTTTTTATAAAATCGGAAACTCCATTGCGCTTTATATTTTGCCAAAAAAAGAAGAGAGGTAGATTATAATTTATCATTTAATTATGATTTATGAATCAAAATGAACAAGAAAGTTTGCTTTTAATTATACAAGGCAATTCATGCCAAAATTATTGTTAGCTGTGTTGTGTCCTGATTCGATTAGATTTTAACTCGTAGATGTTTTTCACATTATTGATATGCCGGAATTAATTTAGTTAGCTTCTTAAGGACTCTCATGAGATATTGGAAAAATAAAAAATAAATATTAAGTAAATCAATGATTCTGGGAGAGAATATAATATCCAGGTTTAGTATTAACTCAAAATTCATATATTTAGTAATTTCTTCCTTTCCTATCGAAAGCGTAGTAACATGACATTGCTTTTGTTGATTTTTTTTCTGCTTGTCAGAGCGAATGGATCTGAAAGAATTAGGGGTTGTATCTGAAAGCGTGAATGATTAGATAATTTCGGAAGGAAATCGAAATATAGTTTATTTAAAATCATTATTAATGTAATAATCAGTAAATGTGCGCTTCTAATTTATTACCTATTTGTAGATAGATGACATGACTTGATGAGAAATGACGATTAAAGTTATCTAACAAAGGGAAATAAATACAATTTATTATTAATATAATTGTTTTAAAAAATGAGTTTAATCATGTTAAATACCTATTTTTACTTATAAATATATTTATATATTACGTCCCTAAGACATGATGTTCCTAGGTCATACATTCGGTGCATATTTATACGAAAATGATATTTCATTTCGTTATAGATGTAGGAAATAATCTAAATACAACAACCTCAACACTTTATTTATATTCATGTACAATACAGTAATTGAAAATTTAACACCAAATATTTGGAGATTTGATATTATTACTTATATTTATAATATTCATAGTGATAATTAATAATCCTTAGCAAATTTAAACTTTACGTTTTTATAAATTTCGATTTGTCCTAGTGCTAGTTAATCCAATATTTACAAAGGGAAAAAAAATATTTACCTGATTTAAATAACAAAACTAATTAAACATTTCAAACATATATAATAGCAGCAATTTCTGCGTTGTGACCTGAGGAATCCCTTTTACTCTTTCTCATATCTTCTTTTATAACTAACTCCCCAAATACCACCTTCTTTACATACGGTGAAAACTGATCATTATATTTCATCAAAATAAAATCTCATATAAAGTATTTATTATAAATCATTTTTGATTGGGGCATCATGTTATGGAATCATCAATTCTCAAACCCGAACATCTTTTTAGTGGATTCTTCAAGCCAATAATTCTATGATTCAATCCAAATTATCGCAACAACCATATTCTTTAATACCTTGAATTTATCTCCTGTCAAAATGCGTTTTTTGACACAAAGGAATTACTATCGTATATATATATATTTTATATTAATAGGTATTTCATTAGTTTTTTTTTTAATAAATAATCTTTTTATGAAGAATGCTCATCATTTTGATTCTTTCATTCAAACTTCAGATCATTAAATAACGAATGAATAGAAGAAAATTTAGAACAAATGGAAATACATAAATTACCATCTGTGAAAAATACAATATCGATCCAAGGATTAATCTGTAACTGTTATGGAATTTAGAATTTATTAAAGTAGGTTGTTGATGTTGGCATAAGAATCAACTAAAATTTTAATTCATTATTCGTCAAATTTTTTTTTACGTATATTAAACAATTTGTGTCGTATGCTATTAAAATTAGGTTATGAGACATAGTAAATTAATTTAATTATATATATATACATTATATTAGAGTATTATAATCTAATGGTTGAAAAAGAAATTTTTAATTTCTAAATATTTAATATTATTAAGCTTACTTGCTTATTTATGAAAAAAATAAGTTTAGATAATATAATACAAATAATAAGAATCTAGATCGTGACAAGAATCCGTCATATAAAAAGGTAAACTGTAGTAGTACCAGCCGTTGGAGTCAGAGTCGACGGCTGAGTCGACTCTGTAAAAATCAAGTCAAGTCAACTTCGGAATTTTCAATGATGTTCAAAATTTGATATAAGGTCAGAATATTGTGAAATTTTAATTAAATAAAATTTCAAATTTTTAGTCAAATGAGATTCTTGTCAACATTATAAATGATGAAACTTATAATTATCTATTTTTTTGCAACATTAATTAAATTTTAAAATTTTTTGATAAATATCAAGATATTTATGGTCGCTAATTTCAAATGAGAGTCGACGGCTGAGTCGACTGAAAAGTCTCTAACGGCTGACTGAGTCGACTCCGGAATTTATCACGACAGGTACTACTAGTAAACTGTAACTTTGAGAGGGTATAACGATTATTAAACTCATGTGAAATTAAATTCTCTTGTAGTTTAAGCTTATGTAATAAAGTTTGTGCCCAATATGGCCTTTTAATTTCAAGCCTTCAGTAACACGTATAAATCTTAGAATTAATTCTTCATAATGCTGCCAAGATTTGGCGTGTTTGAATTCTTTATATAATATTTTTGGAGAAAATATATTGGATAAGATACCAGGACCGAAAGGAATTTGCTAAGTTCAAGTGCTTAGGATAATACTAGAGAAAGAATGTACATGTCAATCTTCTACGAGGATCATATACAATATTAGCAAAATTCAATATTTAATAAAATAAAAATCATTCGATTTTGGTGGCAAGGATAAAATACTTGTGATTTTTAGTTTCGCAGTTACGTACCGTAGATTGCAAGTTTATAATTGTAATTGAGACATTAAAAATGAGAAAAATTTAGGGATGAGACTAACCTATATATGTCAAGAATTCAAGTAACGTGACCAAATATACATGCAAATTTCTTACATTTCTTTTTTTTATCGGCTTGATATAAAACTACTATAAAAACGTTTACAAAAACTTGAAAAGCGTCAAAGAAGCTCTTAGATATAGTCAAATATTATTGAAATTCAGGAAAATTCAAGAGCCCGGTAATGCTCTTTTATGATTTTAGTCTTATTTTTTCAATAATAATAATTAACTGCGCTATTTATCATGTGAAAAATGGTTTCGCAACTGGAATTATAAATTTATAGGTGAACTTCCTGATATCGAAATATTCACGGAGATCTAATTAATCCGTTACGATCATTAGCACAGCGAGATTTGATTTATCTCGGAAATTGTTCAAGTATTTATTTGTAACCAAATCAAATTGATAAAGCATTATATGCAAGTAAAATATTGGTTTTTCATATTGTTATATCTTCAAGTCTGTTAATAATCAATGGTATATATTTACATATTAATGAACATAAAACGACAAATTCAAGAAATATTTGGCAAATCCACTATGAACTTCCCACCATTTATTGGAAATTGTTGAAGAATCTGTTTCGTAAAGTATGTAGCTTAAGCTCAAACGAATCGCTGGTAGAGCAGCAGCTATTACAATATTTACCCATAGGAAGAGGTAAGTTGTCCAGCAATAGCATATTGGAATAAAATTGAAATTGAAAGATTAATTTATGTTTTGATTAGAATCCAAAAGGTCGCATACTATAAATTCTAGCTTTATTGCTTCAAGCAAAAGCCTTGGATTGAATTGAGGTATACAAGAATATTTATGAAAGAAACATATTTAGTTATCAGGGAACTTACAAAGGTAATGAATTCTAATTGAAAAATTTAATTTCTACAGAATCTAATATTTCTGAAATTGTTTTTTTAGAATGCTCTTAACGCAGAGCTTTTGGGAGATCATACATTGGCATGTAGTCATTATCTTGAAGCGTTAAGGTGGAGATCTGTCGTAATTTATGATTTTTCATTATTTCAAAAAAAAATTCTTAATGGAATTATTTAGTTTAGACCGCTTTGTGAGAAGGATGACATTTTGATTGTCTTAAAAAGCTGTGTCATTGGGATGATTTGGCAGAGACCTTTCTTGTTGATATTGAAGGATGATTACTGGTTCTGAAAACGCATTGATTATTTTTAAAATATTTTTTATTATTAAATTTTGGAGATAGATTTATAATATTTTATCCATAGATTCTTTTAAATTAGATTGTCATGACAGCTTTTTTCGATTTTATTGAAAAAACATTGATATCAGCAAATTTTTATTGACAACGCAATGATATTGGTATGCAGACAGTTTCATCGAAATAATGACATTTAACTTAAAATATTAATCGACAGTTTTATTTAGAACTTGCATTGAGTTCACTAACATTAAGTGGATTCGTAACTAGCACTATTTATGTTCTAAGCCATTTTATGATTTTGTTTATTTAAATGTCTATATCTACATCCTTTGGCAATCGGTCGATTGCGTAAATTGAGCTCTTTACAATTTATATTCTGTTGATATTATTTGTTTATTAGTAACTAACTATAACAGACTGTAGAAATTGAAGAATGTTTGAATCTTCATCATTCTTCTAAGTTGGAACACATTATCTTGCGATGTGGAGGTAAAATTAAAAATAACAACCGTAAAAATAATCAAAAGTATTGCTTGTAAATAATGGAATTTCATTTTCTTTTATTTTTAGATTTCCTTCAAAACACTTGATTCCTCCATGATATTTTGACAACTCGTCAATCTATTTTCAATGAAATGGCTGATTGGATAAGAGCAAATAATGTGAGTATTATACTTAAAACTTACATTTTATTTAATAGAATAAAGGTTTCATTAGAGTGCCAAAAATTGTTGAAAATGTCTCATCAGCCGCACGAAAACAAGGAAACTTTGAGGTTCTCGAGTCTGTTGAAATAAAATAAGAAGTTCGAAATTTGACGAGGAGAATTGACTTAATTGACTTGATGCACACAATCAATGCATTCGCGTTGGGCTCCAAGTACGAAATATAATGACTTATATTAGAATGTTATATTCGATATGATCTTAATTTTTATTTTTATTTTGAAAAAAGATTATCATCATTATATATTTATGAATGCAAATCGTGATGATCTGTTATTTTCAGAGAATTATTAAAAATTATTTGTTTAAAAAAATACACCATACAAGCTTATTGCTTCTCCTGAAGCACATTTATCGATTCCATCTAAATTTATGAAGTGTCATTGGTATTGGAGATCGAACTTTTAAAAATTTTTAATTGATACAACGTGAGAACATTTAATTTTTGTTCGATATATTGATATGAATAATTATTAATAAGTTGATTAACCCATCTTTGATATCTATTGATTTCAGTTATACGTTGGGTTAAGTAACAGAATTATTAGGACTTCAAGAATTAATACCTTTCAGAAGGGCTGTTAGATTATTCAATGATTTAAATATTGCAAAGTAAGAAACCATAAAAGTAAATGTTAAAGAGCTTGTCAGAGAAATTTTCTTATTATAATATTTTTTTTATTAAAGTAATGTAAGCAAATAATGAGATCATGTTAAATGCAATGTTATAAATTATTGAACTAGCAAACGCGTGCTCTAGGAAATCGGGAGTAGTAATGAAATTAGAGATGATTATTCACAGACCCTGTACCATAGATGGGATGGTTTTGAAAATATGAAAATAATAAGTTTAGTTGTGGAAATAAATCGTATTCACCGAGAATATATAGTGATGCCAATGATCTTGTCATATCAGGAGCATTCTTCCTTTTCCTCCATCCCACCATCCGGATGGTATTGTCCTACTACCGAAAACGTATTAACCACCTTATCAAACTTATCGAATTAACGTTTGAGCTCAACGATAGGTCCATAGTGAACACCCTACATATATTTGTGAATAAACGATTACGGGATATACATGTATTTTTGGAAAGTTTTCACCACAATTCGAAATGCTGTTATTCCATTGAGGGAGGATGCTTGTATACCTAGATGTTAAACATTTTTCATTTTTTTATTTATAAAATGGTTTGTTAATATGAATAATTAATTATGCTAATAAATATCTTTCTTTACTTTGATGCGACACTTGAAATATTATTTTGGTCCTTTTATTAAAGCGATTCAAAAAAAAGGACAAAATGCAAAAAAATCATTTAAATTATATTGTTTGAACTTTATGAAATTTATTATTTGAAAAATTTCTAAAACATTCGTATAAACGAACGAATGTAATATGTATAAATTTCTAATTGACCCCAACTTTAATCGTATAAAGAATTTTTTTTTTGAACGACAATTTAGTACGTTCACATGCACATCATAAATTCGAAAAAGCATTCCCATTTGGATCGTAAGAATATTTGCCATGTAATTTTAGAATGGGTTCCCTCCAAAATCCCGTCAATCACAGCATAATCCCGACAAACCCAAACAATAACAAAAAACCCGAATAGTAATAAATCCAAAGGTTCCTAAATATATTAGGGTTAGGATTAGGGTATGGTATTGGATTAGGGTTAGGGTTAGGATTAGTTAAATATAAAAAAAAATAAGATTTGTGTTTGTATCGGGTGTCAGGATTCTGGTAATGTCGGAATAAGAACTTTCGGGTGTTCGTTAGTGTCGGGATTATTATCGGGATTATGCTGTCAGGTTTTAGGCTGTCAGGATTATTACTGTCGGAATTTCATGATAAACCCTGTAGTAATTATTAAAAATAGTAGTAATAGGCAATAACTTCAAACTTTCGGATATTATCTTAAATTTTGTCGATTTTAGAAACTCGGTCGAAATATTTTCCATTGTAGATCGGAACAATTCCAACATGCTTAAATGCATTTGATCCGGACTTAACAACGGGTTTCCGAAATGGTTCCTAGTAACGAATTTATTTTTTGTAAATAACATTAAACTAATATATAACTGAAAAATTTTTTTGATTTTCAAAACTCACTTAATCGCGTCAGACCATAATAATCCATTATCAAAAGTACAAAGAATGTGTTGCTACAAGTATGTTGCCAGTTGAATTAGGTATTTTTATTAACAATTGGCAGCTCTTCCCCAAGAATATCATATCCCAGGTGTAAATGTACTTGACGTTGGTTGGTATTTCTTTTTAAGCATATCTTTTAATGACCAGGTTAAGGACTTAAAATATATTTGTGAAAATTAACCGTTGTATATGATAAATTAATAGTGTTTTAGTATAACCACATCGTCCACCAAAAGTAGAAAAAAAATTCAAATGAATACGTACTCCTTTCGACTTTTTAAATACTGAATAAATTTCCGATTTTCTACCTTTTAAGAATTATAAATTACATTTCTGATTTCATTAAACATCATTTTATGAACACAATAGAACTGTCATCGTAATAACGAAATAAATGGTTTGAAAATGGCACCGAATAACCCTTAAGATAAATTGTATAAATGATATACTTAAAAGAAAAACAATAACGTTTTCCATGAACCTAACATCTTTATGCCGATGAAACTGCAATACAACAAGCCATTCTTTATTTCACAATATTTATATACAAATTGAAAAATATTAAATTTAAATTAAATACTTATTCTTTCGATTCTAAAAGATTATTCAATCTTGTTCTAACCTCCTGCCGTCCATTTTCTATAGCCTTTGTATAGCAATATCTATATTCTTTTCAATCCCGTCACCTTGCTCGTATTTATTTGCAAGAGCTTTTTGTGCATTAGAATTTCCTTTTTCGGCGGCTAATCGAAATAAATACAGCGCCTTTTCTTTGTCAACATCAATTACCACTCCACGATCGTAATAATAACCAACAACATATTGGGCGTCTGAATATCCTTGATCAGCCGATTTCTTATAAAATTCAAATGCCCTAGTTAAATTTTTATCAACACCTTTTCCAATTTCGTAAAATTCACCCAACTTGTACAATGCCACTTTGCTATCATCGTTTGCAGCTTCATGGTACCAATGATGAACTTTATCCAAATCACTGATGGTCTCAATATTCGATGTATCTCCACCATTTTTTCCAGCTGCTTCATCATACAATTCGAATCCTTTGTCTTTATTAATGTTTGTTCCCATTCCATTCATATAACAATATCCAAGTAAAAATTTGGCACCAAAATATCCTTGATTAGCAGATTTTTGGTAATATTCAAATGCTTTGACTTCATCTCTTTCAACTCCATGTCCTAACTCGTAACACTCCCCTACATTAAACTGTGCAATATCATTTCCATTGTCTGCCGCTTTTTGACACCAGTAAAAAGCCTTTTCTATATTTTTTTCTGTTCCTTCACCTCTTTCATACAAATAACCAAGATTATTTTGTGCAGCTATATATTCATTCTCGGCCGCTTTTTGATACCAGTAAAAGGATTTTTCTAGATTTTCTACAGATTTTTCACTACTTTCATATATAAAGGCAAGATTGTATTGCGCAATGCTATAATTAGTTTCTGCTGATTTTTGATACCAATAAATGGCCATCTCTAAATTTTTTTCCGTCCCTACACCTCTTTCAAATAAACAACCAAGATAATTTTGTGCGACTTCATATCCATTTTCAGCTGCTTTTCGATACCAATAAAAGGCCTTTTCTAAATCCTTTTCTATTCCTTCTCCATTTTCATATAGATAACCAAGATTATGTTGTGCGAATTTATACTCCTTTTCGGCTGCTTTTTTATACCAATAATAGGCCTTTTCTAAATTTCCTTCTATCTCATTATTTTCTTTATATGTAAATGCAAGATTATATTGTGCGACTTTATCTCCATTCTTGGCTGCTTTTTGATATTGACAAATATTTTTTTCTAAATTTTCTCGTGTCTCTTCACGTTGTTGTTGTTCATGATTATGTTGTTCACCTGGCGCTTTTTGAGATGATGATTTTTTTCCTATTACTCTTCCACTTAAATTTTCAAGACGTTTATGTGCAACTTTATATCCATTTTTTGCTGCTTTTTGATACCAATACATGGCCTTTTCTAGACCACTTTCTATCCTTTCATCTTCTTCATATATTTGTGCAAGATTAAATTGTGCAACTCCATAACCATTTTCTGCTGCTTTTTGATACCAATAAATAGCTTGTTCTAGATTTTTTTTTATTTTATCACCTTCTTTATATAAAGAACCTAGATAGTTTTGCGCAACTTCATATCCATTTTCTGCTGCAGTTTGATACCAATAAATAGCTTTTCCAAAACCTGCTTCTCCACTTTCATACAAATAACCAAGATTGTATTGTGCAATATTATATCCATTTTTTGCTGCTTTTTGGATCCAATAAAAAGCCTTTTCTAAATTTCTTTTTACCTCATCACTTTTTTGATATAAACAACCAAGATTATTTTGTGCTGCTGCATAATTATTTCCCGCTGCTTTTTGATACCAAAAAATAGCATTCTTTAAATTTTCCACAGTTTTTTCACTACTTTCATATAAATAACCAAGGTTATTTTGTGCAGCATCACATCCATTTTCTGCTGCTATTTGATACCAATGAATTGCTCTTTCTAAATTCTTTTCGGTTCCCGAACCCTTTTCATATAAAAATGCAAGATTAAATTGTGCAGCATTATTTCCATTTTCCGCTGCCTTCTGATACCAATAAAATGCTTTTTCTAAGTTTTTATCATCTCTTAGATCTTTTTCAAATTTAAGCGCAAGATTATATTGTGCAATGCTATAACCTTTTTCTGCCATTTTCAGACACCAATTAAAGGAATCATTTAATTTAACTTCTATTTTATATAAATTTGCAAGGTAATTTTGTGCAACTTTATATCCATTTTCTGCTGCTTTTTGACACCAATAAATTGCTATTTCGGAATCCTTTGCCACCTTTTCACCTTTTTCATATAAAAGTGCGAGATTAAATTGTGCAATTTCATAACCATTCATCGATGCTTTTTGATACCAGTAAATTGCCATTTCTAAATTTTTTATTTTTTCGTATTTCTCATATAAATGCCCAAGGTTATACTGAGCAAATTTGAATCCATTTTTTGCTGCAATGTGATACCAATAAATTGCTTTTTCTAGATTCATCTCAGTTCCCTCTCCCTTTTCATATAAAAATGCAAGATTATTTTGCGCAACTACATATCCATTTTCCGCTGATTTTTGAATCCAATAAATGGACTTTTCTAAATTCTTTTCTTCTACTTTTTTATATAAACAACCAAGGTTATTTTGTGCAATACAATCATTATTTTCTGCAGCTTTATGATACCAATAGAAGGCTTTTTCTAAATTCATTTCTGATTTTTTTTCTTTTTCATATAATAATCCAAGACGATTTTGTGCTTGAATGTTTCCATTTTCCGCCGCTACTAGGTACCAATTAAAAGCTTGTTTCGGATTATTTTCCTTTTCAAATAAAACTGCAAGATTATATTGTGAAATATTACATCCTTTTTCCGCTGCCTTTTTATGTTTATCAAAAGTTTCTTCTAAACATTCGTTATATAAAAATGCAAGATGATATTTTGCAGCATCATGACCATTCGTAGCCGCTTGCCGATACCAATATGTGGACATTTCTAAATCTTTTTCTGTCCCTTCACCTCTTTCATACAAATGACCAAGATAATTTTGTGCGATAAAATAGCCTTTTTCTGCTGCTTTCTGATACCAATAAAAGGCCTTTTTCAAATCCTTTTCGGTTCCTTTACCATGTTCATATATATAACCAAGGTTACTTTGTGAGATTTCATGATCATTTTTTGACGCCTGTCGATACCAATAAATGGACTTTTCTAAATCCTCTTCTATTATCTTACCATTTTCATATAAAAGTGCAAGTTTATATTGTGCAATAGGATATCCATTATTTGCTGCCTTTTGTATCCAATAAAATGCCTTATCTAAATCCTTTCGTTTTCCTTTACCAATTTCATATAAGCAACCTAGATTATATTGTGCAACATCATACCCATTTTCAGCAGCCATTTGATACCAATAGAATGCCTCTAAATGATTTACTATCCCTTCATGACTTTCATACAAAGAACCAAGTTTATCTTGAGCCTTGAAATACCCATTCTCTGCAGCTTTTTTACACCAACTAAAAGCTTGTTTCATGTCCTTTTCTTTTTCATATTTAAGTGCAAGGTTATATTGTGCAATTTTGTGTCCATTGGCTGCTGCTTTCTCATACCAATAGAAAGCATTACTCAAGTTTTTTACTGTTCCTTTACCTTCTTCATATAAAAGTGCAAGATTATATTGTGCAGCGTTGTTCCCTTTTTCTGCTACCTTTCGATACCAATAAAAGGACTTGAATAAATCCTTTTTTGTTGCTTCGCCGCCATTATAATATAGAATTGCAAGATTGTATTGAGCGATTTCAAATTCATTTTCCGCCGCTTTTTGATACCAAAACATGGCCTCTTTTAAATTTTTTTCCGTTCCTTTACCTCCTTCATATAAACATGCGAGATTATATTGAGCATTTTCGTATCCATTCTTTGCTGCTTTATCATACCAATGAAAGGCTTTTTTCAAGTCCTTTACGGTCCCTTGGCCACTTTCATAAAAGCATGCAAGTTTGTATTGGGAGATTGTATATCCACATTCAGCCGATTGTTGATAGAAATGAAAGGCCAATTCTAAATTTTTGTCCATCCCTATACCCCTTTCGTATGAAAGTGCAAGTTTATATTGATTGAATGCATCATTTTCCATTGGGTTTGAAGTATTTTCAGAATGCATTATTATTTAAATTAATTTTCAACTTTTTTATGAAGGATTTTTGGGAGTTCCAGGTCGATTTTATTTATAAGCTACGATATTTGCTATTTTGGATGTTCATTCACGCGTAAATGACTTTTATAATAGGAAAGTGGCGTTTTTGATCGCTTTTGTTTCCCATATAAGGTCATGCAGATCAAACAGTTCATTTTACATAAATTAGCTGCGGTAAAACATACCATTTCGATTTGTATTTTATTTACAAATTTTATTTAATTAAAATTTCCAAACAAATAAACATACATCTATCAAACAAAGAAAAAAAAAATGAAAATTGAATGGCTTAAATAACCGGAATTTCATTTAAATTTTCGGAATTTGCTATTTCCCCCCAAAAAATTTTTTTAAATTATTTTGAAAGTATTTATTGGACCCCCGACACCCAAATGAAAACATTTGTAATATCATATTTTAAAACTTAAATTTAAATCTAGCCCTAGAAAATCATTATTTTATAATCTCTTTGAATTCTCAAGTAACTCATATAAGGAATGTTTCTTTTTTTTAAAAAAAAAAGCAAGGTCAATTAACTAATATAGAATTTATTATTGCTCCGAAAAGGTCGGTTCAGACCCAGGTTATTAACCCGAATCGAATTTAGGGGTCGGATTAGGGAGATTACATGGGCGGTTCGCTATTAAAGTCACATTACAGATAATAGCCGATCACCCTGGTCGTAACTCGATTTTAATAACAAACGACCCATATGAAGATTTTAAGTTTAAAATTAACCCGAATAAATTGGTCGAATCGAATTACACAATGGCCGGGTCAGAAATCCAGGTCGACCGACCCTTTCGGACGGAGCACTAGAATTTATTAAATGGAGACGCATTCTAAAATATAAAGTGTGAAGCTATCAAGTTCATAATGATCATGATGTGCTGTGCCCTCGCGTTTTTTATTTTTAAAAAAAAAATGAATCGCTGCGTTTATTTTATTTTATTTTATATTTTATTTTTTTTTGATTTTACCATTTATTCCTTGAGGACAAATATTTTTCTCCTTAGGGTTTAAATTATTATTTAACCTAGAAAGAATAATGTTGTATATAAAGCAAATTGAGATATTCTGATAAAGAAATTATAGTAACCAAATAAAAAAATTTTAATATGAATTTAACTTTGGAAATGATTTATTAAAATATTTCCAAAAAAATCTAAGGTAATTATTTATAAACTTTTCGATAATTTAAATAGAAATTTTTTTTTTGCATGATTTAATAATAATTTTGTTCTAAATTTTGAAAGTGGTTGAGCTAACTGATATGCATAATGGTTGAAACATCCGTCTCGAATTTTTATTGATTGGACACGCGATCGTGATTAATTTGTATGTCGCGTTCGACATATAAAATATTCCGTAATTCTATTTTCGATTCCTAATACTCTTCTACCGATCAACGACAAACCTCTTTTATGAAGAATTTTATAAATTTTAGATCATAACTCTAGTTAGTTGCTAACTCGATGACTACCAAAGATATAGAATAGAATTGATTCAGGTTTTTCATTTCTTTAATATTTTATTTTGATACATTTTGATTTTCAGTTTTATCAGTAAAGACAAGTCGATATATTAAACTTATTTCTTATGTCAATAGCGAGCGAGTCATATAATTCAACAAAACGAAATTTTAAGCAAGAAATTTAGAAGTTTCCAGGATTTATAATCAATCAACATCAAATATTCCTAATTATCATTATTAATTGAGCAAGCAAACCTTCACTTTTGAATGAACCTTAGCTTGAAATACAAATACGAATTTTTCGATGAAACCGGTATGTAGCAGTCAAATACTTGAAAATTTATCGAATCGAAATAGTCGAAACATATTAATACCGTAAATACAAAAAAAAAATTCTATTTAGAGCAGGCCCGACGGAATTCGGGTCACGGGTCTTAGAATTACCGACCTAAAATTTAATTCGGGTTAATAACCCGACCCGCCCGGAGCATTATGCATATTATCTCAGTTTGTGAACATCGACTTTGTGAAAAAGCATTTTTATTTTTTTTTTAATCCTTTAGATATATAGAATGAAGTTCCATCGTTTACGAGAATCGAATCGTGTGAATTTTTTTAAAAAATTCCGTATGACCAATTTCGTAGGCACCCGACTTTAGGCGCAGAGTATGACTTTTTTAAAACTGTACATAATTAAGATTTACCTTTGAAATTTTAAAATTACACGAAGCCACCTTTCGATAAAATAGTAATTAAGGTAATTTTTTACTAATATCATTATTTTCCTTGCGGTTCCGACATTTACTGATGTCAATTTCATTGTTTTTTAAATAGCAACCTCGGAAGTTTTATCGGTTAAATATTCAGATGTTTTAGTACCTTAAAACAGATGTTTAAGTTCGATCATCACTATATTTAGTAAATTCAACTTTTAATAATATAAATAAAATAAATGATTAATTAAAATAGTTTAGATTTAATATATACTGGAAAGGGAAAGAAAGAAAAGGAACATTATTATTATTATTATTCATTTTATGTTATTTTAAACGAGAAGAGATATGCATAAAGACTTTAATAATGGTTTGCGTTTTTATGGACGAGTGAATCTAATAATTGATTAAATAATTCTCTCAACTTAAATGAGTTGATAAAAAGAATTGAGTACATATGCATGAAGCAATATGGCGCTTTTGCAGTAGAAATATAACATGATCTTTTGATCAGAATTCTATATTCTTAGCATAGAACGCATTTTTCTGGAAGAGACAATCCCGATAGACTAGAGTTATTGGATTAGCATTAGTTCACATTGCTAAATCCTTAACTTCTTGATTTGTTAATAATGACTTATTTATCAGATCATAAAGTAAAGATCCTTCTAAAGTTGGCATATATGATTCTATAGCAATTTCATTCATACACTTTTTGCTGACCCCCTTATGCTTTGACTTTGTAGATTTATCAGCTAAGACATATGATTTCGTCCGAATATGAATGACTCAATAATCACATTTTCTGAAGTCTTATCTTTGAAAAACCCAATAGTCTTCGAATCATTAAGATCAAAGAGGTCTTGTCATTCTGCCATATCATTATAAATATCTTCAATTTCAACCATAAATATAAAGAAGTCTGTATCTATATATCCAAGCTTTACCTTGTCTTCATATTTAACTTTCACATAATCACATCAGAAGCGATACATAAAAGCTTACTAAGACCTAAAACTGATACTCCAACAATGATTGGCTTATTGAAAACTACACTAGCTTTTCCCATATGTGTAATTACTAGCGTATTTCCAAGTGGTCTGCTATACTTAAAATCTGGGCTTTTGATTTTTTTGAGAAACTTCTTCTCATCTAACTCATTATTATAGGCCATGATTTTAACATCCTGATACTTTCTAACATTTTCCATAGTCTTACCATATACCGAATTATTCATGAGTTTGAAGAAGATTTTTTCGAATGCATTCTTAGCTTTTTAGCGTAATTTAGTATTTTTTACAATATATGGAGCCAACCAGTTTGTCTGGTTAAATTATAAGTTCTCTGTGACCTCATCTATAACCATGTCCAACTTTATATAATACTGGAGCTCCTGATGATGAATGACATAATTTTTTCGTGAATCAAGATGAGGAACTAATTTTTCTGTTACATAGAATCGTCTACCATCTATATCATTCACAAGCTTAATATTGTATTGGCATAGCATATCCTTTTTTACAGTTACATTTTCTACAGCTGGTGTTAAATCCCTCAAATAGTTGTGAGTCTTTAGGGGGAAATAGGAATTAATCATTAAGAAGAATCCACGTAATGCATCTGCTCCAGTCTTGAGAATCATTTTGAGATATTTCTTTTGCATTTTGGGATTATTCATATGATATTCTCGACTAGCAACCCACTTATAATTTCCAATTGGAAGAAATTGACTCATAGCCCAGCCATAAAGATTATTCGCATTGACATTGTTAGTGATAGTCTAGTTATGACGCATTAGTACTGCGCCAATTACAATTAGCAAATGATGATCCTGTCGATCATGGATCTCAACTTTCTCTAATTTCTATAATTTCTATCATTTCTCTAATTTCTTAGCG